AGAGAGAGAGAGAGAGAGAGAGAGAGAGAGAGAGAGAGAGAGAGAGAGAGAGAGAGAGAGAGAGAGAGAGAGAGAGTTATTAAAATACAGCTGATCACAACTGATGCAGAGCCAATTGGACTCGTTCCCTTGTTGGTTTGTTGCTTTTGGTTCCCATTTTCTCTTTTTTCTTTTCTTGGTTTGCTAACTTTGCTTGTTGTTTGCTGTGTACAGGTGGATAACGGAATTCCGATTGACAGTTGGTTTGACGATCCGTCGGACTGTGCTTTGCAGTTGATTCTCCCATTCTTGGAGACTCTTGTGGGCGTTGACGATGTCCGCCCTGTCATTGCAAAACAGTTCAATCTGCGGCAGAAGATTGCCGCAGCGGCAAGGTAAACTCCCCCGCAACATTCTGCAAACAGGTCGACGATCTGTCCAGGACATCGCCTTGCAGTTCATTCTCCCATCCTCCTCAGAAAATCTCCCAGGCGTCGATGATGATCTCCGGCCTGTCATTGCAATGCAATCCCATCCGTGAGGGAGACAATTACTGCGACGCAAGCTACACAACGCAATTCCGTCCTGTCCGTGGGAGAAGACTGCAGCGACGGCAAGGTGACTTTCTTCCCAGATTCTCTGAGCTGATGATCTACAGTGCTGGCCTCCGTCGAACGCAAACATCGGTCAGACCTATAGTAAACAGTCGGGCGAAGAGATGGCCGTGAATGGTCACACAAAAATATCCGCAAACAGCGCAAAGTCTTCAGGCCATAAGTTCCCATAACTGTAACGATGACATCTGAGTCGGCGTTGATAAGCTCCGCCACCGATCTTCAGAAGGTCCAGGCGCATCATTCGATAACCATCAGTTGTCTCGCCTTCAAATCGTGCAACAACTTCAACTCGCCGATGACTACTGCTGAGAACTCCAATCGCCCATGTATAAGACGATGGATGGTACATGACCCGTCCTCTCTCCCGCCCACTCTCCATTCATGTCATCCCCAAACTCTCTCTCTCAGAGACAGACTCAGAAGGGTGATCGTGGCACACTGATGTCACAAGCCATGAACTCCATGTGTTCTGTCGTATGTAAAGCCGCACACATTGACTTCAATCTTGCACCTCTCTCTCTCTCTCTCTCTCTCTCTCTCTCTCTCTCTCTCTCTCTCTCTCTCTCTCTCTCTCTCTCTCTCTCTCTCTCTCTCTC